CTCCGGTCCATGACGAAGCTGAAGCCCTCCGATCGCCTGTCCTTTCAAGCGAGCTTGAAGTAGTCCTTCCCGCCGGATAGGTTCTGGAACTTGTGGACCTTCTTAATTGCTGCATCAAGTTGTCCCATTTCTTCCCGCAGTCGACGGCCTCCCTCGTCACGCCCATCGTCTGCAACCTCGCACGCACGTCCCMCCACTTCCWCTCCCTCGTTTTTATGCGGGCGAAACTGGTGTCCATGCCGGCGATATACAGATCTTGATCCCTTTTCGCCCTGACGAGTGCGATCGTGTCTCCCACCGAYCAGAAACTTCGGCCGCCCTCRCCATCGCTCCRGCCTGTGTCGTCATCCATTTTCTTATTCCGTCGGTTTTTCGTAGCGGGACCCTTCTTCGCAGTCGCTCCGCCGCTCGCCGCCTTCCTCCCAAGCGGCCTAATGTCTGGCAAATCGTCGGAGTTGCAATCGTCGTCACCGTCAACCTCGTCACACCCCTGGGCCTCGTCAACAGCCGCTTTGTCGCCTTCGTCGACGTGGAGCCGTTGCACCCCTCTCGTGATTGTCTCCGTTCCACCTTGACGCAAGGCCTGCCTGCACTCTGCCCACAACTGCCTGCCGTCGCGTTGCACATGCGCACCTCMGTCAYRCAAATCCTTCGGGCGCTGCCGTCCTCGAGGAGTCCCGGATCCACTTAGCGACGCAGGTGACAAGCGCAACCACTCCGGACGTTCATCCGCACCGACTCCTCCTCCGACAGTCGTCGATGACTCGTTTCAATTACCGCCTCCTTTGCGAAGCGATTGAGGCAGACCGCCGTCTCGTGCCCCTGACACACCACCATGCGTGTTGTCCGCGCAATCCCCGCCTGGGTGGGGATTGATGATCCGAGTGTGCGTTGTCGCTGCTCCGCTGCTGGTGGACAACTGGAAGCTGAGATCAACCGCTGCATTGTCGTCGTTGTCGCACAGTCCCTCGTTCAGCAATGACGTGTAAGACCACGGGGTCTCCACCCGCCTGCCGCTGTGCGACTGCGTCGCCGCCCATTCCTGCGTCAAACCACTTCCCAACAGCAAAGTCGACGACCTGATGTCTTCCCCCTCGTCATCCGACGGCGGCAGAGGAATCTCATGAGAAGGCAGGTGAGCATACAACCTCGGGTCGTATGGCTGCTTCGATACAGACCCCGCACTGCGTTGCCGATTGCTCGCCCCGGAGGTTGTGCCTGCCGGTCTACCGTTAGCCACTCGTCGATCCCTCTTGTTGGCTTTCTTGGAGATCTCCTTCTGCGAGCCGCGAGCGGGACGAGGCCGACGAAACACACGTGAAAGAAGACAACGACGAGAAGCAGCACCACGACGAGGAGCAGCAGAGGCAGACTGTGCAGCAGGTCGGCCATGTAAGGGCCGTTCAAAGGGCAACAAACCAACGACAGCGGTCGACCGTCCAACGAACAAGCCCGTGGAAACAAGAAAGATCGGTGGAAGATCTGTGCTCCAACGTGCGATGTGTGACGACAAACGAAGAAAACGACGATCTTCTGCAATGAAACTGTCGTCGTCGAAAGGGGCGCCGGGTGGGAAAAGCATTCGAATTTCGGACCGTTGTTGACGATCGCC